TATTTATTCTATGTTAAAATGCCTCATCTTAACATCAGCTGATAAATGTTACCAACCTGAGCCTGAGACAGACTGTTTCAGATCCTGAGCCTGAGAGAACTGGTTTCAGATCCTGAGCCTGAAGAGACTGGTTTTCAGATCCTGAGCCTGAGAGAACTGAGTTTCAGATCCTGAGCCTGAGGGAAACTGAAACGAGGGAGAACTACATCCTTGAAGTAGAGATCAGGGGCCAGTTGTACAAAAAAAACTTAAGATTTCTACTTAAATATTACACTTAAAGTTTTATTTCTCCTTAGCTGTGGAGTAATTTACAACAGTGAAAGTGATTTACAGCAGTAAAATTCTAATGTTCCATGGAGACTGTTAATTTGCTGCCATTACCCACTTTTGATACCTGTTAACACTTTTGGAAGTGTGTAACATTAAAGAAAGCTGCTGTCTCATCCTCCTGTTGTTTTGGCAGGAAGTTAAGTGGTTCCTCAAGTTTTAGAGTAAAGATAAGAAGAAAACCTTAAATACTTAACTCAAACATTTTACAATATGGAGACAATTTAGGGGGTGTTTGTGCAATTATTTGTATTTAAGGAAACCTTAACTCAGACTTTAAGGAAAAACTTAACTTAAGGTGTTTTGTGCAACTGACCCTTAGTCTCAACCAGCCTCTGTTAAATAAAGAAGTGAATTTTCGTAATTTCTCTGGATTATAGTTTAATATTTATATCTCTCTTCTATTAAAAACTGAAATCTGAAATAATCTCAGATTTAAAGATTTAAACCTTTGAGGCTCAAGAACTACAAGTCCTGAAGGATTCAGAGGTGGAGACAAACCCTTGCTCTGAAGTGAGCTAAGTGTTTCTGACATTAAACAGTGAGTGATGTTTATCGGGGCCGCAGCTCCCTTCATACAATGCTGCTCTCAAAATCTTCAGACAGGAACAAGTGGTTTCCCTTTGACTGTTCACAGGCAGGAAATCGCCTTCAATAAAGCGTCTCTCAACTTCCTACCAGGCCACTGTTTGAGCCCCAGCTGCTTTCTGGAGAGTATGAACAAAGGAAAACACCTTTTTTCCCCATTAACAGCAACAACAGACCTCACTTCATAGTTCACTGTGACAGAAATACCCTGCAGGTCATTTAGTCTTCTTGTTAAAGACGTCAGGATGTTAAATCACAAAAAATACACAAGTTATCTTCAGGTTTTGTATTACAGTGAAGAGTCTGTAAGCCTTTGTTGTTGCTGCACAAAAACTCTATTTGAAAATAAATCTGAACATTTCAGCTCTCTCCAGTAAAGTCAATCAAATTCAGAAAAATTAGTCCTGGTTTCCGAGGATCAGCAGCTGAGAACAGGTTTGATTAAGGCTCACTCTCAGTTACAGCACTAAACCCACATGTGATCCTTTAACACAGGTGTAAAATGTGAACCTTTAATCACTGACAAATGATGAAAGATAAACCTAATGAGATTGAATCTGGGTTTTGAGAGGATTCAGATTCGATCCTGGATTCAGATTCAGACACCTGCTCTAGTTAATTGTTGACAGGGCAACTCAACAATGCTGGGTTTAGTGTGAACCTGCAGGAGGTGACGCCTTAATCAAACCTGTTCTCAGCTGCTGATCCTCGGAAACCAGGACTAATTTTCTGAATTTGATTGACTTTACTGAGAGAAGCTGAAATGATCAGATTTATTTCAAATAGAGTTTCTGTGCAGCAACAACAAAGGCTTACAGACTCTTCACTGTAAAAACTACAAAAACCTGAAGATAACTTGTGTATTTTTGTGATTTCAACATCCTGACGTCTTTAACAAGAAGACTAAATGACCTGCAGGGTATTTCTGTCACAGTGAACTATGAAGTGAGGTCTGTTGTTGCTGTTAATGGGGAAAAAAGGTGTTTTCCTTTGCTCATACTCTCCAGAAGCAGCTGGGGCTCAAACAGTGGCCTGGTAGGAAGTTGAGAGACGCTTTATTGAAGGCGATTTCCTGCCGTGAACAGTCAAAGGGAAACCACTTGTTCCTGTCTGAAGCAGATTTGAGAGCAGCATTGTATGAACAGGGAGCTGCCGGCCCCGATAAACATCACTCACTGTTTAATGTCAGAAACACTTAGCTCACTTCAGAGCAAGGGTTTGTCTCCAGACTCTGAATCCTTCAGGACTTGTAGTTTCTGAGCCTCAAAGGTTTAAATCTTTAAATCTGAGATTATTTCAGATTTCAGTTTTTAATAGAAGAGAGAATAAAATATTAAACTATAATCCAGAGAAATTACGAAATTCACTTCTTTATTTAAACAGAGGCTGGTTGAGACTAAGGGTCAGTTGCACAAAACACCTTAAGTTAAGTTTTTCCTTAAAGTCTGAGTTAAGGTTTCCTTAAAATACAAATAATTGCACAAAACACCCCTAAATTGTCTCCATATGGTAAAATGTTGAGTTAAGTATTTAAGGTTTTCTTCTTATCTTACTCTAAAACTTGAGGAACCACTTAACTTCCTGCCAAAACAACAGGAGGATGAGACAGCAGCTTTCTTTAATGTTACACACTTCCCAAAAGTGTTAACAGGTATCAAAAGTGGTAATGGCAGCAAATTAACAGTCTCCATGGAAACATTAGAATTTTACTGCTGTAAAATCACTTTCACTGTTGTAAATTACTCCCACAGCTAAGGAGAAATAAAACTTTAAGTGTAATATTTAAGTAGAAATCTTAAGTTTTTTTTGTGCAACTGGCCCCTGGATCTCTACTTCAGGATGTAGTTCTCCTCGTTCCAGTTCTCTCAGGCTCAGGATCTGAAACCAGTTCTCTCAGGCTCAGGATCTGAAACCAGTTCTCTCAGGCTCAGGATCTGAAACCAGTTCTCTCAGGCTCAGGATCTGAAACCAGTTCTCTCAGGCTCAGGTTGAACATTTATCAGCTGATGTTAAGAATGAGGCAGTTTACATAGATAAATAACATCTCACCTGATCATATGATGTAATCCTGTAACCGTGGTAACGTCTCTGTTGTCGACAGAAAGGTTCATAATAAGTGATGAAAACTGACAGGAAATTATTTTATTTTCAGTTTTTAAGGACTGACCAAAACCAGAGCCAGAGGGCAGCTCTTCACATCTACCTTCATGTTCTTGTTGTTGTTGTTTTTGTTGTGACATTCAGATGATGTCACATAAATAAAACACACTTTTTTAGGTTCTGGGAAAGTGTAACAAATGTAAAAGCAGCAATAATTAAAGTTTGACAGTTCAGTGATAATCAGCCTGGTCAGAGAGAAGCTGTGAGTCTGGATGGATCGGGTTTATTTACATCTCACATCATGGCTTTTATTGACTGAGACATTTAAGCACATATGAGTATGTAGAGTGTGAGAGGAGAGTCCAGAGTGTCTACAACAGTTTTAATCTCAGAGCTCTGCAGAGTGTGGACAGAGGGTGTGGCCCGGGACAGGTTCCATTTAGTTTTGTCAGGATTAAAAACCAGCTGATGTTTAATAAGAGATCTGAAGGGAAAGGAGCTGAACTAATGATTCCACCTGGTCCTGGGTCAGTTTTTAGATCGGTCAGGATTGTTTAAAGAAATAATCTCACCTCAGCGCTGAATTCTTCTTTTGTTTTGATAAGAATCAGATTGTAGGACTAGGTCCTGGACTCAGGAACTGGTTCAGATGCAGATTTTGGCAGCAGTCTCACAGAGTCAGGACTGATCCAGATCTGTACATAAACAAGTTAGAGCAGAGAAAACGTGGGGGCTGGCAGGTCCGGTCGTTCCTGACATTACAGAGAGTCGACTCAGAGATAAGACTGGACGTGACCTTATAAGTTCATGTAGACCCGAACCAAACCCTGCTCAGATTCTCCTGCTCCACCACTCTGCAAGGCGTGGTGTCACCAGTTTCCCAGACCTCCTCCAGCTCTGATCGCAGGGAGCTTCCAGACCCCCCCACACCCCACCCCACCCCTAGTTACTGTTGCTATATTGGACAACTTTCCATCAACAGTATCACTACATCAGGACTTAAACAATAGGAAATGGTTGTTGCCTAAACAGAACTTTTTCATTTCACTCTTCACAGTTTGTCACAATAATCTGAAATCAAGGTCCACTTACTTGCTTATTTCAGCCACTCCTCATGGTCTTCCTCAGCACTTGTTTTCTCAGGTGTCATGTTGTTGTGTTCAGTGAGTTCGGGAAAGAAGAAAATCCAACTCCAACATTAAACATGAGACTTTCTTCAAATGTCAACAAGCTGATTCTTTTTATTTCATGATGTTGAAAATAGTTTTATATATTATATTATAATATATATTAATTTTTGATTCCATTGCCAGGCACAGACGTGTTGGGTACAAATACTAGATGATGTTCAGTGACAATGATTTTTATTGAGGTTTTCCAGAGAAGAAAAACACTGACTGGGGTGTGTGTGTGTGTGTGTGTGTGTGTGTGTGTGTGTGTGTGTGTGTGTGTGTGTGTGTGTGTGTGTGTGTGTGTGTGTGTGTTCAGATCACATCGATGCGCTGCAGAACAACCTGACCCAGGCCTTCCATCAGACCAAGGCCTGCTTGAAGCTGCAGGAAGCTGCTAAGAATCAGATGTTTGCGGCTCAGAGTCAGACCAAGGCCTGCGAGTCCCAACAGCAGTACGTGCAGAAGCAGCTGTAAGTGAACGCATCACACGCACACACTACATTGAGGACAGAGTGAGAGCGAAGCTCCAGGAAGACACGCCCCCTCCACGATGACAGGTTACATCATTTCAAACAACACAGAGGGGAACATGGCATCAGATAAAGAACAGCAGACCACATTCCCAACATGGTCTACGTCACCATGAAGGACATGAGACTCAAAGTCTGAGCAGAGCATGAAGGTTTTTTCTTTAGTTTCACTTTCTGTGTTTTCAGGTTGAATCAGACTGGACAGGCTCTCCTCTGGTGTGAACTAACGAGTCATTAGTTAATAGATTTCTCTGTTTGTGTGTTTACAGTCAAAAGTGTAAAGCTGACTCTGAAGCATCACCAACTCTATCAGTATCAACGCCGCAGCACAAAACCCCCGCCCCCGCCACAGATGACCACTCCGCTGCCTCGCCCCTCGCTGGTATTCCTGCACTGCTGCTGCTCGCCTGCAGCACTCTGCATCTGATAACCTGTGAGTCTCCGTCCCAACACACACGATAACTACCACATGACTGAATCAGGTCTGAATCAGGTATGACTCAATAGCCACGTTTTGACCAAAGAGTACCTGAAACTTTTAGTTACAGGTTTTAGTTCCAGGTACTTTTCTTCAGGAACTAAAAGGTTCCTGTGGCCCATTGTTGTCTGTGTTTCCACTCTGGCCTAAAGTCCCAGGGAGATGATGATGACGTATTGAAAAGCAATGAAGGTAAATGCACTACAACTCCAGTCCAGTAGGTGGCGGTGAGAAGAAGGCAAAGGCTATACAACAATGATAATGCCAAAAAAGCGACGGACAGGCCGGCATTATCATTTGTGTGACACTACACTTAGCCTGTTAACAGAGGAGATTCAGGTTGTGCTGCTGTTGATTGTGCTTTTTTGCAATGCAAACTGATTCATTGAATCAATGCTGGAATGGAGGCGAGTGTTAGTTGCAAAGCGGATTAAAGACGCACATCAACAGTTTAGAATCAAAACAAAACAGTCAGCTTGCAGTTGCGGGCTTTTGAACATGGCTGGTGAAATAAAATGCAGCAGAGTACTCGACCAGTCAGATATGTTGAGCACTGCAGACCACACCCCCCAAAGTTCCTGAACCTTTGGAAAGTACTACCCCCCGACCAGGGACTTTTTTGGGGGTAGATCAATTACCCCGGACTAAATTTAGCCCCTCGTTCCTCAAAAGGTTCTTGGTTCCTGGGGAAGGTTCCTGTGGTGGAAACGCACATAATGAAAACCAGCAGAGACCACAGAGTCCCAGATAGCACAGACTGCACCCGAATGCATCTGTGGGTAGATCTAGTAGTAGGGTGTCATAATGCATTCTGGGAAATGTAGGAGTTCACTAAGCAACTGTAACTAACTGTAACTAATTGTAAGTATTATTTTCATTATGGATCAATCAACTGATTATTTAATAATCGGCTGATTAATAAATAATAAGCTGATTATTCAGTTAATTAAATTATTAGAGGTTGTAATAATGTTTGTGTGTGTTGTTGTATTAGTGTGTTTGTTTTGTTGTATTAACGTGTGTGTGTGTTTTCAGGAGTGCAGTGTGGTGATTGATTGTTTCGGCGGCAAGCACTGTGGTCCAGGACGGGGGCAGAGCCTGGACTGATTTACTGACTGCTGTACAAAATTCCTGTCAACGCAACAAACAAACATGTCGCCACGGAGACGCTGACATCACACTGTCGTATGATTGGACACAAACTTTGCTTTAAATTGAACAGCTGAGACATTTGCTGACCGTTAGAGACTCTGCTGCCTCACAGAGACCATTGTTTCTACTTCCTGCTACTGGTTTCTACTTGGTTTCTACTTTCTGTAACTGGTTTCTACTTCTTGCTACTGGTTTTTACTTCTTGCTAATGGTTTCTACTTTGTGTTACTGGTTTCAAAATTTTTAGTCCATTAAGAAAAACATTTTCACTCCTGCACCAGTTTTTAGACAACTTCCCTCCAGAGACAGTTCATCAGTGTGACTGTCAGGTTCTCTCTACATCCTCAGGGTCTACGTGATTAATTAATGACAAATCAGGGTTTTTCCTGCATAGGGAATTGGGAGGCGGTCGTCTCCGTCAAATTTGGTGGCCCCTCAGCCTCCCGACAAAATTCTAGTACTTGTTTTCTCTGTACTCGGTGGATTTGACGCTTGTAACTGCAATTGCAGCTGCACGCCACTACGGCAATCTAGTGGCGCTGTATCGTAATCTGTGCATCAAGCAGAGCCATCCGAAATTACCAAAGAAGAAGAATACGAACGCGCTGGATTTTCTGCCTGCGGAAGGAAGCGACCTGATTTGAGTGCAGACATAAGTAGTTCTTCACTTATGGGAAAAAAAAAGTTAATTCATGTTACTGACGAGATACAGTAAAGTTGTAAGGAGTGAAAGTAGGCCTAGTTCTCAAGTGGAAGGTGCCCCCCCCTCTCCGGTGTTACGGCTTAGTACCACCCCCGCCTAATTTTCGTCCAGGAAAAACCCTGCAAATTAACCACTGAAGTAAATATGAACTCCTCTGAGACAGAGACTGTAAAGTTGATTTATCTTTGTTTTTTAATGTTTTTCTGTGAGAATAACGAAGACTCAGAAACCTCATGTTGTTTATTCTGTCAGACTGAAACCAATGATTGTCATCATCATTACATCTGAGAGATATTTTCTTTAATAATCGATCGATTGATCAGTAAATAAAATCTTAGTAAAAACTAAAAATTTCTTATGTGAGATTTGAGTCATCTGCTGAACTGGTCAAATCATCTTTGATTATTGATCATCGCAGATTAACAGCTTCAGTCTGTAGAGTTCAGGTCATGTGTCTGTTCTCAGCCAGCTGTTCTCTGATGTTTCCTGTGGAGGGATGGAGATCTAAACTCTAATGATCAGCAGGGTCACAAGTGAATTTTAATACTAAAGAACATAAATAAAAACCTGTTTACACCTGAGACTTCAATCTGATCTGAATCTGGATGAGAGAGAAAGCAAAATATGTGTGTGAGGATTTTCATAGAAATAGAGAGAAATCTTAATTAATGTTTGAATGTTCGGTTTACTCTAAATTTAAAATAAAACAAAAGTCAATAAACAAAGTATTGAGAAAAAAAGATATGAAGAGAAATCAGTGTAAAAGCTGATGGAGGATTTAAATATGATTGACAGCTGGTTTACAGCAGCATCATCATCAGTGACTGACAGTCCTGTCATTGACTGAAGAACTGATCCAGATCAGGATGGTCGGGCATGAACAGGGTCAAAGTGTGTGTCAGTGTGTGTGAATGAATTTTTTCTACTGTTTGTTTTTTGTATTGTTGAGTTTGTTTCTTTTGTGCTTTTGATGAAACTCACAGCTGAAGCTTCATAACTGCAGCAGAACAACTTGACTTTTAGAAGCTTTTTCATTGTTTTAACTGATGCAGGTTTGGGATGGGGGGGGGGGGGGTTAATGAGATTAATAAACCTGAGGAGTTTGTAAAACTACAGTGTTTTCTTTGTTCCATATTTCATGCCTGATTTACCAGAGATCATAGTTCAGAGAATGACAGCAGGCATATAAGTACAGATATTAAGTACTTATTTTCTGCTCCTTCAGAGGGAGATCTTACACTTTTTACTGCTCTACATTTTTCTAACAGCTGCTGTTCCTCTTCAGATGACGATTTGAAATGAAAAAGAACCAAGTTTATAAAACACAAAACATTGTTAGAGATTAAAACAGGTCATTGACTTGTCTCATCGTGTTTCTCTCAGTTGTTTTGTTTATCTCGAAACTAAGATTTAAACTAACTGTTTAAGGCCCAAAAAAGAAAAATGATCCAATATTTCATTAAAAAACAAGTTTTCTGAGGCTGAAACATGAAGCCAGCACTGAAGAACCAAAACCTGCAGTTCCCTTAATGACCACTAGAGTCTGGCTCCAACAGTGAGTCAGTCTCCATAGACTCCCATGTTAAAATGTCCAACTTTACAGCAGAAATAAACATGTTTACAGCCTGGTACAAAAACACTTTTGGTCTCTAGAGCTAATTTCCTCCTTCATGACACCTGTTTATATAACTCACCTGTTTACATTTTATTAAGGCTTAAAGTTATTCATAATTGAGGGCGTGGCCTCTTTGAGTGGCATGTAGGTGAACATATGCTTGTCAAAAACCGACATGCACTTTAGTCTCAGCTCCAAACATGCCCCTCCTCTTTGACCATTTTTGGATTAGCTGGGAGTTAGGGGTGGAGTCAGACACTGCCAAGATGGCAACAGTAGAGCAGCTCACTCTGAGCAGCTCACTCTGAGCAGCTCACTCTGAGCAGCTCACTCTGAGCAGCTCACTCTGAGCTTCAGAAACCTGTGGGTGACATCACAGAGGCTACGTCCTTTATTAAAGTCTGTGGTTAACACCAGTGTTGACAGGACTGATGTCACAGACACTGTTTACAATAAAAAAACAAAGACCAGTGGAGTTTTTAAAAACCTTTTATTTTGTAGGAACTTGTGTTTGTGTTTCCTCTCTACAGACATTTGAGGACGCTGAAGTTACAGACGCTTTCTGTGGGACACACATCTTCCCGACCCTCAAACCTTTACGCAGCACGCAATGCTTACCTGCATCATGCATCTCTCCATGCATCTCTCACACACACACACACACACACACACACACACTCAGGTCAATCAAACAATCCATGGCTGGGTCGCTCCCATAAGGTCTAGTGTGGGAACATCAGCTAAAGTATCTCTAACGGAGCCCATCACCTCTCCTAAGGTGTCCCACAGCTCTGCAGGTGCTTCTACAGGTGTGTCTGTCTGTATCTGGAGCGAGTTTCCTTCATGTTCAGATTTGTGAGTCTGTCGAACTCATGTATAAAGGGAAAGTGATGAACACAGAACCAGTAGGATGTCCTCTGTCTCCCTCTAGTGGTCTCTCTGCGGTCTCTGGTCATGTTTGGAGGAGACGACTCAGTTTATGTTACTGTAATGTTACTGTGAGCCGCACAAACCCTCATCACCTGAGACAGAGAGGGACAAAATGAGTGAACTGAGCCTTTAATTTCTGAATACACTTATGTTCTTACTAGGGGGAGTCGGCCGAGCTTCTTCTCTGACGACGGCAGCTGTTTGCTCTGTAACTTCTCCAGGATGTCCTGCAGAGCTTCAATCTGGAGGGACAGGTTATTCTTCTGTTGATGAACCGATCAGTGATCAATCATTCATCAGTTCATCATTTCCAGCAGCCAATAAAAACACAGCGCACAGGACACTCAGATCTCCACATCATCATCATCAATGAACACCTGCTGTACTTCCCTACTCACCAGCTCCTTCTCCTCCTGTGTCTTGATGACATCGTCAAGTGACCTCTCCTCTGTCAGCTCCTCACAGCTGACCATGACAACCAGCAGCCAGCAGAGGCGGTGAGGAACAGCATCCTGCCGTTGACGACGCTAGACACCTCCGTCTGTCCTCTGGACTGAGGCAGTCTCACACAGGAGAGTTTATATGTTCAGCTGAGTGACTTGTGAGGTCATGGGGAGAGAAGCCTCTGCTCCTTCAGACAGGAAGTGACACAGGATTTCTGTGTGATTTTCAGCTGCAGGTTAAAGTCTCTCGTTTCCTGATCAGACGTTCTGATTAAATTTATAAAATTAAATTCAATCCAAGACACGAGAGTCGTGTATTAATCAATTTTAAGTTATCATTTGGACAAAGTCACATTATCACAATAATATAAAATAATTTTATCAAAAAAAGAAGAAAATATACAGGAGTGTAAAAGTCTTATTGTCAGGAATAAAAATGTTTTTGTTTCTATAATAATAAATCAATAAAATTCTATACCTGACCCTCGTCAAAGCTGCTTCACAGTGAAATAAAAATGAGAAACAGAGTCGTCCATCTTTTCTTTAATAACAAAATGTCTTCATTTCATTTCTAACAGCAGAGTTTCAGTGATACACAGACCCTCAATAAAACTCTACACAATCAAAACAACATCTGAACTCTCAACACAAACTACGTCCGTTGGACCAAACTAGAGCAGTGTCTCCATGGAAACAATCAACTCGGAACAAACAATTATTTTAAAATATCAAAAACAAAAATGTACAAGTTCACTGTGAAAGACGACGAAGGTCCCAGGAGCTTTTCCTCCCATGATCCTCTCTGGCTCTAAAGCAGGAAATAAACAACAAACTAAAATAAAACTGATGTCTCATGAGTTTGAACCTGTGAGCTCAGGTGAAGATCAGTCATGTTAGTACCTGTGTGTGTTCAAAGTGGCTTCTTACCTCAGTCTTTAGAGGTCGATCTGAGCAGCTGCTGAGCCTGAAAAACACACACACACACACACACACACACACACACACACACACACACACACACACACACACACACAAATATTATACATTGTGATTATTAATAATTAACTAAATTTTTTTGTGCCAGATGTGATGAAATTTCCTCTGTTCCTGATATATCATGTTAAAAAGGACGTGAGGCAGAGACCTTGACCTTTGCTCACAAAATCTAATCAATTCTTCCTCGAGTCCAGCTGAAGGTTTGAATCAGATCTGAAGTTCATGAGAACAGGACGGACAGACGACAACAACACTCTAAAAAGGCAGCACTGCTTTATTTTTGACCAATCATGAAGTAGAGAAGGATTACATGTTAGGAAGCTGGCTCTAGCCTTTCTGGATTCAAATTTACAGAAACTTTAATTCTGCAGATTATCACTCTGAAGAGCTGAAACCTTCACACTGTTGACTTGAATGAAAGCTCTGACCAGAAAAATCAGAGCTCATTTTAAAACAGGATTTTAAACCAAACAAATCACTTCTCACCAAAACATGAGTGTGAGTGTGAGTGTGGGGAGATGATGACATCATACTGACCATGAAGCTGCCGGTGTGGAAACCACACATGTACCAGAGCATCAACATGCTGGAGGTGGAGTCGACTCCCGTGGAGCTGCTGGACTCTTTCCCTCCAAACGTCCAGAGAGGAGGAGGAGGGGGAGGGGGGATGAATGACAGGGGGTCCTGGAGACAGACACACTGTGAGACTGATCATCATTACTGATCAACATTAATGATCTGTTCACTAACGATCAGTGAATCAGTTTTACCCCTGAGCTCGACTGAGGAGGAGGAGGAAACGGAGGAAAGAGAGAGAAGCTGTGATTGGTTGGTTTCTCTGCTTCTTCTCTCTGCTGGTGTCCTCTCCTCTTCTCTTCTCTCTCTTTACTCTGAGGACCAGGTCTCTCCTTCACCTGCTTACATCATGATGACATCACATCTGTCCACAAAATATAACTATATAAAATAACAACTACCACCTCAGACCTGTCAGAGCGCCTATATATATATATGTATATACATATACACACAGATAGATAGATAGATAGATAGATAGATAGATAGATAGATAGATAGATAGATAGATAGATAGATAGATAGATAGATAGATAGATAGATAGATAGATAGATAGATATGGATGAATGAATATATATGGTCACAACCTCCAAAAGACCACTTGATTTTTTAATTAATAATGAAATATATAAAGAATATATATAGGATCATATGGGAATATAGGATAGTTTTCCAGGATATGGGACCCTGAGCTCTGGGTTCAGGTTGAGGTTGAGGTGTTAAACAGCTCATGTCCAGCAGGTGTCACCACTGAGATCTAGTTAAAGTCAGACTCACCCAGAAGAAGCTGTGATCGTCCCTCCTCTCCCCCCTCCTCTCCTCCTGCTTCTCCTCTCTCCTCCCCCTCTTCCAGTCAGAGTTATTGGTTGAAATCGACTTCCAGCTGCTGCCCTGCAGAACGTGATGAAGGTCAGTCCAGATGTTAACATCAACACCATTTAATTTCACATGTTGTTTTCATGTTTCCATCAGGAATCATTTTTCAATCAGAGATTGATCTGTTTTTGTTTCAGGAGGCGTTTGAGACCTCAGTGTTCTGGTATGTTCAAATGGAATTAGAATTGATAACTCTCTCTTATTGAGTGTGTGAAACAGAAGCATAATCACAGCTGATCAATATGACCAGAATCAAACAGAAACTGGAGGAATGAAAATTTAAAATCAAGATCTGATCAAAGAATAAATCAGCAACACACACATCACTCAGGTCTGATGTGTGTCCCAGGTCCTGGTCCAGGTTTTTACCTTGGTGGTAGATCTGCTGGCTCCGTGGAGCTCATCTGGGTTCAGCAGGCTGCTGATGTCCTGCTCCTCCTCATTGTTGTAGTCGTCAAATCGAACGCAGCATCGCTGACCTTTGACCCACAGAACCATGGCTGGATAAACCAGACCATCCTCTGAATACACCGCCCGACACCGAGAACCAGGACTCCAGTCCTGAGACATAAACGTCAACCAGACTCTGAAAACATGTTTTACTCACTCACAAAGTTTAAAGGTTAACCCAGACTCACAGGTGTTGTCCTGACACCTGACCCTCAGTTTTAATTTTAAAATTTTTCAATCCAATTATATTTATAAGCACTTTTTAAAAACAACACAGATGACCAAAGTGCTGTACAATAATAAAATACAAAAAAAAAACATAAGCAAAAAATCTCACATTAAAAGTACAAAAAGACATAAAACACGTGTAAAAACAACAACAGTTAAGCAATAAAAAGGAAACATCTCAAACTCTCAAAAGCCAAGGAAAAGAGGTGCGTTTCAAGAAGAGATTTAAAGACAGCAGTGAAGAGGCCTGCCTAATGTGTAAAGGCAACTCGTTCCACAGTTTGGGAGCTGCAACTGCAAATGCCCGATCTCCTCTGACTTTAAGTCTAGTTTTCAGGACCACTAAAAGCAGCTGATCAGCAGACCTGAGAGACCATGACGGTACATGAGGTTGAAACAGGTAAGAGAAATAGGATGGAGCAAGACCATTCAGGGATTTATAGGCAAACAGAAGGATTTTGAAATTGATTCTGAAGCGCACAGGGAGCCAATGGAGGGAGGCTAGAATGGGCAGCGAGCAGCAGCATTTTGAACCAACTGGGTTTATTGAAAGCAGCTGAGAACTGAACAGCAGTGGAAGGGTTAAACATATGACAGCGCCGAGCAGGAGCGCATGGTTTAACCGTATGACAGAAAACACTGCATTACAAATTTCTAAGATAAAAACAGACAAACCACATTATAAAACAAGATCAAGTGTGTGCCCGTGTTCCTGTGTGGGACCAGTCACAGACTGCAAAAAGAATCAATGAGACCTAAGAAGTCTTTAGCCAACTGCTTATTAGGACAACATACATGGATATTTAAATCCCCGACAATTACGACCTGGTCATATTTGGGCAAAATTTCAGCCAAGAAATCAGAAAAGTCATTTATAAAGTCCTTATTATATTTTTAATTACCTTCTTTAAGAAATTGCTAATCGTAATGCAAAACATTTCTGAATCTATAGCTTAAAAATCACTTTTCAGTTAAAGTTGGAACAATGATTGTATTTCTCATTTCATTTACTGACTCAGGTCGCTAACCATGAATTTTCCCGTCTGATGTGAGGTGGTCGTTACCTGAGCGCTCTGTCTCTGCGTGCACGGAGCTGCTCTCAGTCTCTGGAGTGCGCTCAGTTCCACGTCCTCCTCATTGCCGTAGCTGTTGAAATGAACTCTGCAGCGCTCTGCGTCCAGAGACACCACAGTTGCCGGGTAGACCAGCCCATCCTCTGACCACACAGCCTGACAGGGAGCTCCAACCTCCCACTGATAGACACAACCAGTCAGAGGTGACCTCACAGTTTGGTTCACAGCTTCTTTAATGAGTAGATTAGCAGCTGATGATGTTAATTCATGATCGATCTTTATGACAATTGTGACATTTTACTGTACTGAGTCTACTCTACATACATGGATCCACGCTGCGTTCACAAACCAACAGAATGATTACCTACTATATGGCTACACTGATTGGGCAAAGTATATCATGTGTCTCTCACCTCAAGCCTTCAGTCAGTTGATATGACTGGGTTTTATTGGGTGTTAGGTGTTATTTGAATTTTTTGATACTAGTAGCAATACGATGAGTTTAATTATAGATACCATAACTATTTTTTAAATATATCATGTAATACATAATTTTCTGTCGGACCTCTGTTTATATTCATCAATAGAAGTAAAAGTTGTCAAATGAAAAAACATGGAAGAAACTATGGTCCTGGTTTCAGTCCAGCAGGTTACTCCAGTTCTTCATATTAAAACTGGTTCTATTGTCCTGACCCGTCTTGTGGAGTCGTTACCTTTGACTCAGAGGTGGAGGTTTCAGCTGCAGGTAGACAGATTGTCTGTCCGTCTTCCTGCTCCAGCTTCTCTCTGCTGCCCTTTTCCTCTGTCAGCTTCACATCCTGCACAGACCAAGAAACACTGAAAATGATCACCATATCCAATATGTATTTAAGTGCAAAAACAAGATCCACCAGACACCAAGTTTGTGCTTTCCTGCTTGTGAGTGCAAATTTACCCGTCTGTAACATTATTGAAGTTCATCATGCATTACATCATTTTGAGCTTTAGAAACTGCTGAACCTGTGAATCAAAACACACTGCACCACACTGCATTTTTTAAGATAGTCTGTGCTGAATTGATGATTATTGAATCTTCTAGGTGCAAAACTGTTCAGCATTCTGAACTGATTTGTTATTAATCTTAGGTTATTTCCTATCATATATGGGTAGTAAGTTTGAAGTATGGCAATTTTAAATTTCCAGAATCTTGAATGAAGTTTTGTGGACTGTTTTCTCTTCCCATGTAGAACTGACAATTTAACATTTTACTGGTGCCACCTGACACACCAGGAATCATAGTAGTAACATGTTTAGTTATTAGTCACTTCTGTTATATTTGCAACAAAATATAGTTTATGGTTATTTTCTTTAAGGCAGCTGAGTGTTTTTAACACCAATGTGCCGTTTTTAAATTTCCATAATTTTGAATGGAGTCTGGTACAGCTAAACCAGCGATATTCTGTTCTATTAGCAGCAAAACAATAACATGCAAAAGTCTAAATTAACCTCTGATAACAGCCTTTGGTCATCACGTATGGGCAATGTGTAAAAATGATGCCGATTTTTTTGGCATTTTGAGTTTAGTTGAAAGTTCTATCTTGACGGAAATTACCGTTTTATCTGCCAATTGACAGCCCGGAGAAATTACAGTTACACAGGTGGACAATTATATCCATATTTCTGTAGCTGAACGTAAATATTTACGATTTTAAACAGAAAGTGAAGTTTTGTGGACATCACTTGTAAAAACAATTAGGAATTAGTAACTTGTGTTATATTTGCAGCAGAAGCGGAAGTTGTAATGTGATAACGACCTCTGGTTATTTCTAACACAGATGACGGTTCTTAACATTGCGTCGTTTTAAAATTGCCATATTTTTGAATGGAATTTGGTCTAAATGTTCTCTCTTGACATTTAGAACGTTGACACCGTTCTGCTGTTGCCCATGACAACTCTGTAAAGTTATAGAAAAAACAGCGTAATTTCTGTTCTATTAGCTGCAAAACAATGATATATAAAAGTCTGAATGAATCTCTGATAACAGCCTTTAGTCATTGTCTATCACGTACGAGCAATGTTTAATAACGATGTCGATTTTAAATTGCCAGAATTTTGAATAGAGTTTGGTTGAAAGTGCTTTCTTGACAGAAAAAAAGGAAAAACTAACCTGTGATATTTCCAAGGTGTTTTCAAAAGTTTCCACGAGGGAAGTTTCGTCTTTAACAGCCGCCGGTTCGGACTCCACCTGCAGGAGAGAAGATTTACAATTAGCCATCGTTTGCCACGAAGAAGCTAAACTAAACCAACTATTACCAACCAACCTCGGCAACGTCAGACAAACCAGCTGCTCCGTTTCTTTGTGTTAATTAGCCATTAAGTTTGTAGCTAGCAACGGTAGTTGAGTTACGAGGCTAACAATCGTTTCCCGTTAGTAATCGGTTTTCTTCGTGACCACAAATTAGAGAATAGTTATAACGTACCGGCTCCACGGCTCTGTCAGTAACGCCGTTTTCTGTCGGTTCCGTCATGGCTGTCATCAGTTAAATAAACGATCATTTCACACAGGTAAAATTTTAACCGCCATAACTGACAACCGACAACACCTGTGTCAAGTTTACCTGATATTAGGAGAGAATGTACCGGTTAGACCTTTCAAAATAAATTGTCATTGTCGTCGTCATTTCACCCTTCAGTATAAACGACATTATTTGTGACAGAATTAACAGAATTAATTATAAACGTCCTGCTTTTATTTACAAAGGTTTATAAAGTTTAAGGACAACAGGTTTCTGTTTTTTTAAAATGTGTTTTTAGACCATAAAAACATTTTTTTAAATGACCTATAACCTCTAACAAAACCCTCTTTGATTTTTATTTTGATGTGTATTATTGTTTAGTTCATTTGTGCTGGAGGCATTATGTTTTTGGGGTTCCAGGAATTTTCTTCAGATTTGGTTACAAATATTAATTTGAACTCAAGGATTTGGTGGTCAAAGGTCAAAGGTCACTGTGACCTCACAAAACACGTTTTTGGCCATTCACTAATTATGAAAAAATTTAACACAAATATCTATAAGGATAAAGTGATGACATTTTATATCCAAAGGGTCAAAGGTCAACTTCACTGTGACATCATCATGTTCTGCAGAGACACTTCTGGTCATTATTGAACACTGTAACTCAGGAAGGAGAGACTGTGACCATGTTTACTGTGACTTGAGGAGCAGATTCTAGTTTTTCTTATAGACCTTGTTCAGACATTTATTGATATAATGTGTCTCACTTATATTGAGTCACATGAACCTGGATAATGTCATGTTGTCTGTATATTAACAAAGAAATAAAAATCAAATTAATCAATTCACTGACCAGAGTGACAGAAGCTTAACAGATGTGAAACATTAACCTCCTGAGGGGCCAAGCAGCAAACAGCTGTTGTTGACCCCCACTGTAACTGTCAGTTTCATTATTTCACCTAGAAACTAACCAGTAGTCTAAAGCTGAAATGATTAGTTCATCAACTGATTAATCAACTGAAAGAAAATGAATTGGAAACAGTTTTGATAACTGATTAATCATTGAAGTCCCTGTGAATATTTGCTGGTTTTCTATGATCATGAGCAAACGTCTCATCTCACTGTGCTGCAGAACAGAGAGGTTCAGGAGATCCTTTGTTCCCACTGCCATCAGGCTATACAACACCTCAGTCAAAGGAAGTGGACTAATCTAATTATTATTGTTTTTCTATTATTAACTGTTCATATAATTATTATTATTATCAACAATGAGCTAATGGACACATGAATTTTCCCTAGGGGATAAACAAAGTATCTATCTATCTATCTATCTATCTATCTATCTATCTATCTATCTATCTATCTATCTATCTATCTATCTATCTATCTATCTATCTAAACTCAACAAAACAAGACATTAGAATATATTAACTGGCAACCTCACAGTTTTTCCCTGATGAAATGATATGGTCTTTACCTGAAGATTTCTGTCTGTTCATTAATTTGATAAAACAAAATATGAACTACAGCAGTTCAGTTTTGACAGAGTCCCATCATATTCTTATTTCTTTCACTTTACTGTCCTAACAATCAATTAAATCACATAACCACATATATTTTATATCAGAGGAACAGAAGTCCAACAGTCTGGTTTCACTTCACCTGGTCTGAAAGATCAATTAAAACTAAATAAATAATGATGTTATCAGAATATATATCTTCATGTGTTTTTTTTATATTGCGCCATGTCTCTTGTTTTAATGTCTTTAATGTTTTATATAAAGCACTTTATATAAGAAGAAATCTGCCTGAAGGGAAAAACATGTGAAACAGCAGTAGTGAGTTTCATCCACTGATGTGAGGTCTGATCCTTCAGCATATTCATCATCCTCTTCTGTTCAGCCTTTTAAAGTTTCCTCAAAGAAGAAAGTCTCATTCAAAATTACTAAGGTCTAATTAATGTCTGTATCGAGTGAAGAACAAAAATCTAAGTTTATGTTTGACAATAAAAAAAACAAACTGAGGGAGAAGCTGATGAAAATGTAAATGATTTCCCATTCATTAGCTGAGTGTGTCAATTGTTAATGAAGCAGCAGGATGAAGCTGATGGAGATCTGCAGAACAAACAGAGCCGAGCTGTGGATTCAGAGTTTATCAAACCTCCACATGAACCAGACTGTGGAGGAAAAACTACGGAGTGAAGGACGTGTGAGGTGGAAACAGGAAAACCTGCAGACTGAAGACACCGGAGTGTAAACCAGCAGGAGAGCACACACTGCAGACACACACACACACTCCAGACACACACACTAACAGCGGATGTGTGTATTGTAAAATTAAAGGTGTAATTAGTTAATTTGTGGATTCTATGTATTGGTGACATTACAGTTCAGAGATTTTCTGCAGTAAATTTACAATAAAGAGAAAAATACACTTGAGAAATTAATCTTAAATTTAACATTATCTTAAAATGCCTTAAACATTAATATTACATACTGAAAGTGTTTAAAACTTAAATTTTATTCTTTTCAAATTAAATAAAACTTTTATTTTGTGTCTCAAAAAACAGTTAAGTTTTATGACTAAAAAGCAGCACAAACTTTTTTTTAAACTTTTAGCCTCTTAGAATTTTTTACACCTGAAAAAGTCATTATAGGTTAATGTTATGCCTGACATGTTCCTTTAACTTTACACTAATTATAAGACTGCCATTTACACTTTAATTTAAACTTTTTAATTTAAACTACAATTTAAAAAAGCTGTTAAGTTTGAATTTCACACCTTAACCTCCCTAAGCTTGGATTTTACAGACTTAAAATTTCTTAAACTAGATAACTAGATTGTTTTCTCTGATTAGTCTCAAAAATCTTCATTTCATTAACACTTCAACCTCAAACTTTTATATACATACATATAATATATAAAACTTTAATTCTCCACCTGAAAGCTTCCTCAGATTTAAATCTTCTTAAACTAAACACAGTTCCTTTAATATCATTAAAGACCAGAATCATTTAAATTCACTGACTGCAGAGCTTCTGTTCTTTAAACTCTGATGATGCTGAACGTTAATGAATCAACGACCAATAATCCTCTGATCAATCATCAGTGAAGCCATCAACACTTCATCAATGACAGCATGTGATCAGTAGTTTCACATTGAAAGCCCAGAGAGGTATAGATAAGGATCAATGATTAATTTCCTCAAAGCTGTCTTAGGTCATGTGATCAGTTTATATCCAATCACCACTTCACACTTCTCATTAATAACAGCTGTGATTGGCTGCTAATGAGGCTGATTAACTTCTCATCAATAATCAATCAGCCCTGAAACACCTGGTTTTATTCCTCCATTGATTGACTCCAACTGATGCAGAACTGTAGAATATTTCTGATCACACACACATAAACACATCATATACATCAAACAGGAAATGAATAAAAAAAAACACATTCACAAGTTAAAATTGAAAAATAAGTTTAATGATGGTTAAATAAAACATTATGAAATATCAAAATAAAAGATTAAATGAAAACTTAAACCATATTTGATGAACTAAGTGTTACACGGGCAGAGGGTTTAATCCTGCTGTATGGGGTGCTGTGACCAGCAGGCGGCGCTGCAGGATCACAGACACATGGACTCCACCAGCAGCGGAAGGATCCTGATGTATTCTCTGTGAACATGAATTCATGAAATCAAACCAACAATTATAATATAAAATATCATTAAAATACTGTTTCTCTCTGTCTCCTCGTGCTAAGGGAAAAATCAGTCTCACATCGGGTTTCATTAATTAGCTGAAGGCTTAAGTGGCCCCTCCCAAAGTTAAAGAAAAACAAAATCCAGAGGTTTAAGGGAACATGAAGTTAGAGGTGAGGGAGCAGATTAAGGTGCAAGGTTCTTCCAATATCAATAATATAACAACTAATAAATTTAAACTAAATCTATGTAAACTGTGTTTCAAACTGTGCAGATGTCTGTGACACACTGAACTGTAACACTCTCTGTTTTCAGTTTCATATCTGCAAACCCCTCAGAGCCCCTCAAAGTCTCCCTGAAACCTCACACAGACTTTAAAACCCCCTGAAGAGATTCTAAAACCCCTTAATGACTCATGAAACCTTTTTCAAAACACCTACAGGACTCCCCAAAACTCACTCACAAAAACCCCTTCAACACACTCAAAACCCTCTTAATGACCCCTGAAACCTTCCCAGGAACCCTCAGCTTGTCCAGGACCTCCTCCCTCTCTACAAGTGCCCCTAGTTGGGAAACCAGTTTTGCAGAGAGTCCTGATCTAAGCCTGTTCCAACATGTCCTGCTGGTTTCACTTCTGCAGTGTCACGGCGGGGCCGCTGGGGGGCGTCTGAGGCCTGGTTTTCGGTTTTAGTCTGCAGACAGAGTTCCGCAGGATCTGATCGTGAAGTGAGTGTTACAGTGACATGTGAGTGAACCATGAATCGTGCTCAATAAGCAGGATGAACATGTGAATAAAAGTTTGCATCTGTAGATGTGAGGATGATCTTTGTGGTTTTGGAGGTTTTTGTGGATCAGATCTGCGGCTGCGTAAGGGTTCAGGACTCAGGACTTGGGCTTCAGCCGGTAAACAGCCGGATCCAGTGTCCCGGGATATTTTTATCCTGGAAGCATGAGAGCTGAAGCTGCAGCTGCAGAGGAACGAACCTCCATCAGTCAATAAAACATCCTCTGCACATCTCGTGAATTTCACCTCTTGTTTATTAAACTGCATTTTCCTCATTCTTATTTTTAACTCTTTCACAACCAGCTCTAGCCTCCGTTACACAACACAGCCTGCCCAGCTCCCAGGCTCGTGACACGGGCCCGGTCACCTGCTCAAGCTTCCCTTTGTGTTTCTGCAGGAACCAGACTCCATTAAAAACATAATGACTTTATGTATCTCTGCAGTCGTGAGGTTGTATCTGTGTTTGTGCAGGGATGAGATGTGACCCCCCCCCTCCCCACACACACACACACACACACACACACACACACACACACACACTCCCCCGTATTTCAGGAACAGATTCTGGGAGGATCGAAAAAATTCCTCCACTCAGAAAGAAAAAACTCCCAGCAAACAAACTGGGAGAGTGTGAGGAAGAGAGGGAGGGAGCAGGGGAAAGAGCGGGGGATTCTCCGAAACCACCCACGTGGGATCTCCTCCATTTGCAGCGCGTTCCGCCAATGAGAGCAGAGTACGGGGGATCTATTGACAGCGGCAGACCAATGAAGGAGCGAGCGGCCGGGCGTGGCACCGCCCGCCGCGGACAGGCTGTATAAGAGCTGGGAGACTGCAGTCACAGGCACAGACGGGATCTTCTCACGGACGGACTAAAACTCTGAACTGAGCCAGCTTTAACGGTCTCTGGAACGATCTTTGTACCGATCTGGATTACCACTTGTTGGGACTTTAACGGGACAGCAGCCGCTGTGGATATTTCTGATTATCCTGGATCTTGTGGATTATTTTACTGACTTCAACATGACTTTGGAGGAAGTGGTCGGATCCAACAGCACCGAAAAAAAGTAAGTTTATGTTCAGCTGATGCGTAATTTATGCACAGGCACGAGGCTGCACGAGTCAGACCACATTAGACCAGTCCGGGTGCAGACTGTGGTCCTGGCTCATATCTAGACTTATTATAAATGTGTATTAATAGAGGGTTCATTGTAGTCCGGGTCTGTGTTCTCGTTCTGCCGGTATCGGTCTCTTTCTAACCGCCTCCTTGTCTCTGCAGGATGGAGACGGTGAGTCAGGCTCTGGAGGAGTTACTGGTCGCAGCTCAGCGGCAGGACTGTCTCACTGTGGGGGTGTACGAGTCCGCCAAACTCATGAATGTGTAAGTATGACTTCTATTTTTCTATTTTAATATTCTAGCTTCACTGCACCAGAATATATTCTAACATGACGCTGATGTTAACCAGTCTGTCCCCCGTTTGTCCTGCAGAGACCCAGACAGCGTGGTCCTGTGCGTCCTCGCCACCGACGAGGAGGATGAAGATGATATCGCGCTGCAGATCCACTTCACGTTGCTTCAGGCTTTCTGCTGCGACAACGACATCAACATCCTGCGGGTGTCCGGCATGAGGCGGCTGGAGCAGCTGCTGGAGGAGGACACCGAGAACGGCAACAGCAACGAGCCCCGGGACCTGCACTGCATCCTGGTCACTGTAAGTCCTACTGTCCCTCTCACTGTCTGTAGCGCGTGTTAATTGATGCATACATATTAGATGAATATGAGACACACATGCGTGCATCATGTGACTGAGTGCAGCGTCTAACCGTGTTTCTCGCTCTTCCTGCAGAACCCTCCGGTGCAGCCGCTGCAGTGCCAGGCCTTGCAGGACGTCAGCAGCTTCTGTGAGGAGAGCCGCTGCAGGAACCAGTGGGTTCCCTGCCTGGACCTGCAGGACCGCTGAGCCGAGCCGGACTGAGCCGAGCCGAGTCAGACCGCTGCGGAGCGGTGAGAGAGTGGAACCAGTCCAAACCGCCGTCCTCATGCAGAAGAGGAGTAACGGCGTTTGAGTGAAGACAGGGACCGAACCGGAGGCCTTCCTACTTCCTGATTGGCTGATTGAGTTGGCCAGGGGCGCGGGAGACAGGCCTACTCGAACCGGAATCGGAGGGGGTCTAGAAAGCAGACCAGACTGTGCAGGAGGATCCGGGTTCTGGGGCTGCACAGAGGGGAGGTTTTTAATGAAATGTCACGTGCTGACTGACAGCACCGGCACGTCACGTGACTGAACTGAAGATGTGAATGAATGAACTGAGGAGCTGGACCTGAAGCTCCTGGACTACAGCCGAGCTGCTGGTGTTGTAGGTGTCCTGCTCACCGGTCTGCTCACACACACACACTGATGTGAAGATACAGAGCATGTTACATCATGTTTTATTATGTGTTGTTATTAGTGACGCGATGGAGTTACACACCGAATATTTAAACTGACCAGAGTTAATATATGAGTGAATCTGTTTTTCTATTGATGAATAAATTATTGAAGGAGAAAAGACTGATTCATGTGGTTCATCCAAGAGGTATGTGTGTGTGTGTGTGTGTGTGTGTGAATCAACATTAATCATCATTAACAGCCGAATCATGACATTTAATAAATATGGTGAAAACATGTAGACGCACAAATCATTTCTCTGCTGCTCAGTGATGTTGAAATGTGCTGAGACACTGGAGGAGACACAGATGTGTAGACAGGTGTGTCCTCTCTTCAGTCTGTAGAGGAAAAGATGGATGTGGTTTAAAAAAACAAATAACAAAACATATATATATATATAAATATATATTAAACCTGCAGATGACACAAACACTAAATGGTCAAAAGTATGCAGACATTTGTGACCATGTTTTGGTGTCTCTTTGTTCTGGGTCTGTTTCCAGTATAGGAAAACCTGAATCCCAGAGCTCAGTGACGTGTTAGACCAGAGGTTTTGAACTGAGACCATGTCTAATACATGGAGTACCACAGGGATCAGTCCTTGGTCCTCAAGCAGTCAACCTCAGGTCCAATATTCCCAGAAGCATCGTATCAGTTTCTATTTTTGTGCAGATGAGTCTTAGAGTTTAATAAGATCATGAGACTGAACAAGGCGTGCAGGTCTGTCTGGTGGGAATTATCTCTGAACGTCCTGTCAATTAGCTTCAATAAAAAGACTCATTGTCATTAAACAGTTTCAAAGTATAAAACATACAATTTGATCTGTTTTAAATCTACAAATCAGTTGTAAACTGTAGAATCATCCATGTTTATATATGTTTATCTATATTTCTGTGAGTCAGTAACAACCTGCTCCACACCTCCACATCTGATCCTGTTCACTTCAGACTACAGTTAGGATTGTGGGAAATGTGCAGAGAAGCATAAAATCTCTTTCAGAGTGTTGACTGTGACCACGGCTGGAGGCGGGAAATAGATGGTTACATGAGGAGTGTGTTGGTGGAGATCTTCACGCCGCCTCGGTTTCCATGACGACCCTTCAAGTGTGTGTTCTTGTAGGTCTGACTGTCTTTGTGCCAGAGTTTAGAGCTGAGGAGGGGAGGACTCAGTGAAGGCTCAGGTTAGAGTCAGGTTTAGGTTACTTAGCAGGTCAGTGTGTATACTGTATATAAGATATACATGTTTTCAGAGCTATGGGAGTTCAACCTGGAGCAGAGTTGCTGCCTTGCTCAGAGAGTTTCTGAGAAACTGAAACAAAATCAGTCATTTCATTCAAAGAGAGGGGGGGTGTCCCTCTGTGAACACATCAGCAGTTCAGTGTTGACAAAGCTGAGACCTTGACATACAAGATAAAATTTGAGTCACACGTTTGAACAACTTCATTCTGTGAAGTTTCTGGATAAAAGAAGCCTTTGAAGTCAAAAGTAAATATATCATGATAAAGTCACTAAAGCTTCATGAGACCTTCTCATGTTCCTCTAATGAGTGTGGTCTGACATCATCAGCCGCAGTCCAGGCTGTTCTGGTCTGCGGTTCTATCAGAGCAGGAGTGTCCCTCTCTATCTTCAGAGAGCTCCTCCTCTTCTAACACCCTCATATGTCTGACTAGCTCTGACTGTGAACTTCACCTGATCTTCTTCTCTTATTAGATACATGTAGGACTCAAGTTATGACCTCTGTACAGCACCATGCAGAAAGAGACTGAACACCTTCTGGGCCACCACCAAGTGAGTACTGGTGTTAGTCTGGTCACCAGTATCAGGGTGGTCTGGTTACTGGTGAAATCAGGATCTTGGCAGCTGCATGATGGGTGATTCAGTTTAATGACAACCTGAGAACAAAGTGTTAGAGCAGAACCTCCAGAGTCTGGATCAGACAGATGCATCAATGACTGTTAGAAACAGTGTAGGTCAGAGGTCACTGCAGGTCACATCAGATCCACAGAGCTCAGCATGTTCTGTCAGCTGGCTTCCTGTGGTCACTGAAAAGACAGGTGTGTGTGTCTGTGTGTGTGTGTGTGTGTGTGTGTGTGTGTGTGTGTGTGTGTGTGTGTGTGTGTGTGTGCATGTGTGTGTGAAAACAGATCATTAAACAGACCCACGCTCTGAGCTGCAGAGTTTCAGTGAGTCTTTGAGTCATGAATCCTCTGCAGGGTCTGAAAATGAAGGATCCAGGTCAGGACTCATAAGTCTGTCTCCAGCTAGAGTCCAGTTAACATCTGGTTAGCGTGTGGTTAGCGTGTTGATCCAATTAGATTCCTGGAGCCAGTTGCACAAAACACCTAAAGTTTTCAACTTGACACTGAAGGTTTAATTTCTCCTTCAGGTGTTGCACAGAATCTCTCGAAGGTTTCCTTACTTGAGGAAAAAAGTGCATTTGCAGCAGTGAATGAGAATTTACAGCAGTAAAATTCTACCGTTTCCATGGATACTGTTGATTTGCTATCACTATCCTCCTTTTGTTTTGACGGGAACTGAGGTCATTAAGGTGTTTTGTGCAAGAATTTAACTGACTTTAAGGGATTCCTGAAGTTTAAGAATAAGATAAGGAGTAAACCATAAATACTTAAGTGAACATTTGAAGGAAACATTAAGGAGAGGACTTAAGGGTGTTTTGTGCAGCTGTTTTTATTTTAAGGAAACCTTAACTTAGACTTTAAGGAGAATCCTAACTTAAGGTGTTTTGTACTCCAGGAACATCATGTTCAGTGTGTTGATGGTTGAACTTCAGTGTTTCCTCCATCACTGAACAGAGAACATCAGAGAACAGTCTGTTATCTGCTGTTCTCTGAGTTGTTCTATTGTTCCTGACCTCTGCAAGTTATTTTCAGCTCCTGTGATGTTATCCTGTCAGAGGCTGGGGGGGGGGGTTAAATATTTCTATATAGACACAGAGAACAGTCAGTTCTTGCAGCTGTGTGTGTTTGTGTGAAACCTGCTGAGCTGTAAACTGAAGCTCAGTCTGCAGCCAACTCTGTGCAAACAGCCACCGGCCTCTGCCCGTGATGTCACATCCTGATGTCACATCCTGTTGTAACCCCCCCTTCTCCCCCCTCCTCCCTCTCTCTCCGTGGAGATGATGGGGACTCCACTGCTCTGCTGACGCCACTGGTCTGTTTGCTTTGGCAGCCGGCACGTCCCTGCTGGAGCCTATGGGGCGGACAGGGCCACGCCTCCTCTGACAACAGGACAAACTCCTGCAGGTGATGGACAGCTCTGCTTGGCCAATCAGCTGCCAGAATGAGGTGTGAACCCTCAGATGTGTTTCTGTATAATTTAAAACATCTGCCTCAGAGTGAACGGATCTCTGATCCACTGAGACACTGACATGAAATAACTCATACTGTTAATGTGATGTTGATTCTTTTTAAGATGCTGCACAGGCTGATGATGATGATGATGATGATGATGATGATGATGATGATGATGATGATGATGATGATGATGATGATGATGATGATGATGATGATGATGATTATGAATATGATGATGATGATGATGATGATGATGATAATGAGAGGATGAATCATATGAATGGTCAAATGCAGTTTGTGCAGATGTTTTGTTCATGTGACCATCTAATTGTTGATATTTTATCATCACTGAATGGTCCTGTAGGTCCTGGTAGAGGAGACAGGTGGAGGTCACATGATCAAATATACACTGATCACTGTTTCACCAACTGAAGGAAAAAAATATCACGTCACAATAACAACATCATGTTTCCCGCACACACAGACTTATTAACGTCTCTTATCGTCTTGGAGACTCTGTGACGAAGCTTCTTTCACACATTGAATCTGTCTCAAGGTCTGAAATCACACTGCAGCTCTGTGGCTTCCTCTCCTCACACTGCAGTCACTGTAAAGTTTCACTTTAGTCCTAACAGGTGACGGAGGTCTCCACCTTCTGAACCTCTGAACCCTCTGCTCTTTAGCAGAGCCTCCTCAGGTCCTGGTCAGACAGGTGACAGACTCACTGGAACAGGTGAGTCCCCCCAGTCCTTGACAGGTAAATCAGAAAAGCTCAGTTTGCACGAGGAAGACAGAGGAGAGCGTCAGTGATCCATCCATCACTCATCCATCCATCCCACACAGTGTTTCATGGACTTTTTGCTCAGACACTGAAAGCACAACATGTTTTTTAATATATTGATTTTAATATATTGATCAAAACATGTTGATGTTCTCTTTGTAAATTCATGATCTAATGATAATAAAGTTTATAATCTATAGAAATTATTGATCAGTTAATAGATCTCACATCAAACCAGAAAAGTAAAGCCTCAGAATCTTTTCAAATTTTAAAGGAACTTGTTTTTGGTTGTTTCAGATCCATTTTTTTTTTTAAATTTGATGGTGAATCAGAAAAACAAATAAAGTCCAAAACTTCACTTGAATCTCTTGATTTTGTTATTTGTTCTTTTCAGTATAAAACTTGATGTTGTGATGAGGTTTCAGGTGTCCAGTCACCAACAGGTTTCTAATACAAGGCTGAGGTGGACCAGTAAAAGACCCCAATGAAGGATGTCTGGTCTCTGTGATCCTCAATCCTCAGAGCAGGAAGAAGAGCTCTGGGATGGAGGAGCAGAACCGGACCGGAACCATTTCTCCACCAAGGAGCAAATCGAAACCCGGACCAGACACATGGAGCAGATACAGAGGAGGTGCTCTATCAAAAACAAGGTGTTTGCCATGTGGTTGACGGTAGTAAACGATGGTTGTCGTGGTTACATAATATAAACGTTAACAGTGAGTGTGGGGACAAACAGCTCACACCCAGACTGTACACTGAACTGAACTGATCTGACATCAGTGAAGCAGAGACACTGTCTGCTCTGATGGAAGGAATGTACGACCTGCGTTAATCACCTCACACACCCAAAATCCTCTGGGTGTGTGTGTGTGTGTGTGTGTGTGTGTGTGTGTGTGTGTGCCCAGAGGAGGAAACAGGGAGTGTAAAGACTTCTGTGAAACCAGGTCATTCCTGCAGGGTCAGAGTAAAGTACTCTGTACTTTCTCGTTATTTCATTTTAATGCATAGAAATGACCATTAA